GTCCCTGTTGGCCTGCTGAGCAATGCACTGAAGGCACAGCTTGAAACTGCTGCTCAGTCACACTTTTCAGAAGGAACAGTAGAAGCACATATTTGTCACAGGATCGCAGTACAAAAGACCAGAAGCAAACCTCAACCCCAGCTACTGCCAGGAGCCACCGAATTGTTTCCATGCGACCACGTCCATTGAAGTAGTGCAGCTTGGGTTTTCCAGACATGTTTCCACCTGCCTGATTCCCTGGTATCTGCAATGAAGAAAGCAGGGTTGTAGTTTTGAGTCTCTAACTGGCTCTCAAATTGTCTTGTTTGGAACCACGGGTTTATTCTCCAAGATTTTAATTAATCAACAGTGGAGGTAAAAGATTATATTGAGAGACTGCCATGTATCATTCTGCCTTCAAATATTACTTACACATGCAGAATATTTAAGCAGAATTCTGTACTTAGAATTGGCCCAGAGAGAGAACAAGGATTTTAAAGTATTTTAATCTTTGCGTACAATGCGTTTTGTTCTGACCAGAAAGCTGCCTGTGCTCTTTGTGTATTTTTTCATTATCTCAGAATACAGTTACTGTTTAATCAGATACATGCTATAAACTCAGCAATTGCTCTGCTTTCTCCAGCAGCCATTTATGCTCCATTATAACCAGCCAGGAAGGAATTCTTTCCATCAGTCAATCCATTTTACAACACTCCATGCTTCTGAAATGTCTTTACACAAACCTCTAAAAATTGGAAATTAATTTTGCCTCTGGTAACATCAGATTTGCCTTTACAACAGGCACAGCCTCAGGGCAATGCCTGCTTGGTCCAGTTCCAACTCTGCTGGAATTTTGAGCAACAACAGCTTCTAGGCAGACACTTAAAGCAACAACAGTTTCTAGGCAGACTGTCACCCACCCCACTCAGAACCGTGACACCCTGTCAGCAAGAAAGTTGAAGTTTTAACAGCAGCAAAAGGAAAAAGGCCAAACCACTCCCATATTCCCCTAGTAAATAACATGTCAGCTTCTCTGGAGTAGGAAGGAGGCAGTGAAACACTCCCCACTTTTGTTATCTGCACTTCTTAATTCTCTACACCTTAAAAGCAGCTGATTGAGAATTAACATTTTGTACACATATCTATATTACTACAGAAAATACATACACACATTTATTCTATAAAACCCATTTAATGACTGAGTTTCATGTGCAAGTCCCTGCATTTTAGGGAAAACTAAAGTAAAAATCTTACCTTTTGCACAGTGTGACGCACTCTAAACTTACAGCAGTTCTGCCTTAAGATTACATAACTCTGGAGCCCCTCCTACACTGAGTGTTCCAAACAGCTCTCTGCAAACTGGAAACTTCTCTCTCTTGAGCAAACAAAACCCATTATCTCTGTTTAGCTACTTCCGACCTACAGAAAATAAATTCCTGACTAATGCTGACTATGTAGAAATGTAAAATAAATCAGAGGTTATGATCTTTGGAAACGTGTGCTAGCACAAAATGGTTATATGCCTCCTATTTTTATTGCTTGTTACCACGCTGGCTAAAAATAATTATAACAGCTGAAAAGCTCACTCAGATTAAAAGAATACTGCTATGGCAATCTCACTTTTATTCTAGGGGGGTTTTTATTTGTTTTGGTTTTTTTTTTACTTTTTACACGTTGCCGTTTTACATAAATCACATCAACTAATTCAGCTCGAATCTTTCACAAGCTTCTATGCCTTGCTTAGTGCATATTCCTTCAGTTGACTTCTGTTGAATCCTCTCTGGACATCTGGGTTGGTTTGTTTTTTTAATATTTCCTGAATTTGACTCAGTGAAAAAACACACCAAAGACAGCTGAAAGAGACAGTAAATGAAGTGTGGCATCAGAAGGCAAACTGCACTCCGCAGTCCTGACTGTGTTCTTTGGACAGCTCAATAGATTTCAAAAAGTCATACATTCAAATACAGCATACATTCCCATGTACCTTCCTGCCAGCCATCACCTGCAGTTACAGTACAGCAGGTTGTCACCTTCATGTCCTTCCTGTATGCATACTTGATTGCTTGGTAGCTGAAAATGACCCTCATCCTGTCAATCTTCACTGTTGGTACCTGTTACATCATTGTGTTGTTCCATGCTTGACAATAAAATAAGCTTAATCATTTATTTAGAGCTAGAATCACAGAAGGACAAGGCATCAAAAGAGTCACCACTGCAATGTATTGTCTTTTAGGAGGTGTCTAGTGCCCATGTGGAACACTCTGTATCCCATTTGGCACATAAGGAGAGCCAGGCCTCACAGAAGAGGAGCCCTGACTGGCAGCACCTCTTGTTGCTCCCCATTCTGGTTAGGGCTCTATGTCCCTCTGTCCCCTCCTTACATTTTGGGAAGGTCTTCCATCCAGCCTCTGACACTGTTGGAAACAGTGTTTCCCATATTTTTGGACACATATGACTTATGACACAGAATCTAGAATAATGTAGGAGATTGAAGTTCTCATGCAGTGACATGTGTACCAAGGTGCATCTGGCTGTTTCACAAACCCAAACCTCTCTTAGGAAACTTGTGTGGATTCACCATTTGTAGGCCTGCCCCTGATAAACTCTAGGAGACATCCTGAGTCTAGTGATCACCTGGTAGGGAAACATGAGTTCAAGCCTAACAGTTAATGATAGTGTAGACAACTTAGGAAAACCTATCTCACCTAACTCTGTAGACATCTACATCTGGTCTAGCTGTCTAGTCTCCTTCCAATAGGTCCAAACTCAGGAGGAATCCCTCAGCTTGCTCTTCAGTTACAGCTGAATACTCAAAAATGATTGTGTCTCAACTGAGAGAGTTAGAAGTTTTGATGAAGCTAGTCCCTTCAGCCTTCCCTTAGAGGTAGGGGAGAGGAGCACCCTCTTCAGAGGGTGATTTAATGCCAACATTGACATTTCTTGTTTGCTCACAAGCATCCATTGAGATTTCAGGCAACTAAGTCTAATATGGTCTGTCTCATAACTTGACTTTCGGAAATGTCACTTCATTGAGGTATTTTGGGAAATATTATTCTTCTGTTTTCTCCCTCAGGTTCATTTTTCCATATTTTTTCTAATTTCTTTTTTTCTTCACTCGTGTCATAGACTATTAAGCATCAGATCTGGTTACTGACAGTTGTTGGAACACAGTTTCCTTCTAAGCAGCTGCTTCTCTGTTGCATCAGGCCACTTCACAATGCTGTTTATTGTCTGCTGTAATATTTTTATTTGAAATTAAATGGACTGTATCTGTTGCTCTGTGTTCTGTCCTAAAGGTGTAGAAATAAACCCCCTCTGCCTTCCTACAGTCTGCAAAGCAGACTGCACCTTGCTTTCACAACACTTTGCTCTCAAGAGGTAATATATTTGTAAGCACCTTGGGAGTAGCTGGTATGATCATTCAGGTTTGAAATACCTGATTTATAGACAAAAGTAATCAGTTTTGAAAAAACTTTACTGAGGGACCTTAAAAATCCAGTTCACCCACAAGCTTTAAAATTGATAATGGAAATTTGAAACAACTTTTTTAAAGGGTAAGTGGTGCTGCAAGTCCTCTCTTTCTTGTCTTCCACAGCTGTTACTCTGAGCTTCTTTTCATGTAGAAAATATCTTCTCCAACAAGTTGTATTCTGCCAATACTAACACTGCATTGTTCTTTTTCCAAATTAGTAAACTCCCAACCCTACAAATAGTTCTTTGCCTCCATAGCCCTTTGTTTTCATGTTTTGCCAAGCATTTGATATCAATAAAGAAAAAGCTGCTGTCACATTGCCAGTGTAACAGAATGCTTTATTTCTGGTATGGGTTGCTTTGTTCCTCTAGTACTGGTTTTAACTAAAACAATACTAATTTGCTGAGCTTCCTTCTCCTTTGGTTTAGGGTTTGGGGTTGCTGCTCTGCTTTCTCCTGCTCTCCCAGCATTTTGGGTCTCACCAAAGGTGGCAAGGCTTTCATATCTTAAAAATCTTCAACACAGTTTCTACATAATGGGCATCTGGTGGGGGTTTCCTTGGGCTGCCAGGCTGCAGGAACTTCTTAATTGTAGGCATATTGCTCATTTTGGTTTTAAACACCTAAAAAAAAATTAAATAATTAAAAAACAGAGCAAGAGAGGAATTCCAGCCACAAAAATGTGATTTACCCAGCATGGGGAGATGATTACTTCAGGACTGACCTCTAGCTCCTGAATACAGCATGCTCAGTAATTAAATTACCTGCAACTGAGGAAACCCTGAGAGCACATCAGGAACTTTCTCCTCCACTGCTAAAATGGCTTCCATTAGCTGAACATCTGCCCAGCTGAATTTGTTGCCCACAAGAAAGTCTTGGCCGTGTTGTTTCAAAACCTGGAGAAGACAAGAAAACATGGGCTGCAGATGAGAGTGGGGCATATGGGCATCCTTGGCATCTAAATCTCACAGCACAGCTGCAGAGCTGAGCAGCAATTCTATCTGAAATTTCAGGGTGGACTTTTCAGCTGAAGTTGAGCCTAGATTTCATTATTGCTGGGAAAAAATAAAGTTTTGTTCATTTCGTGTTCTAGTACACAGACTACAAACTTTGGTCACTAAGTAATAATGAATGATGATGGGCACTAGGAACAGAAACAAAACCACATGCCTCAGTAGACTAGTAACAGTCCTAGAATTAGAAAAAAGGACAATGGAGGAAGCAACAAGCAATTTAAGGAATTCATAGAACTCCCATTTAGATGTTTCATGTGAAGTGATGTCCAATGCTCATATCAGGAAGCAAACTTAGAAATGCAGAATTGCAACAACTAACTAAAGAAAATCCCTGCCTTTGGGAACAGACTATTTTAGTGCTAAGAACTTGTGTGATGTTCAGCCTTTATTATTGTTTTGCAAGAAAACTAGATCAATATTACAAAAGTGGGAAATATTGCCAGATGCATGAATCATATGGGTTGGGTTTATTGTTTTATAAATCTGTGACTAGTTTTACTTAAGTACTCCTCTCTACAGGATTTGTGTACAAGGGATTTTTGCATTCCTCCAGTGAAACTTTTCCAAATGAAATTAAGTATGGCAGAGAGATGGGCTTCAAACAAATATAAGCATAGAAGTGCTCCTTCAAGAAAAATAATCACAAAACTTTTAGTGAAAAGTTTTTCTGTACATCTGAGAACATGCTGCTTCATAGATATTCAAATACCACAGTCCTGACAACACAAGCAAACAAAGAGAGGAAAATGTGTTGCTGTATTTCCCCTTTTCTGATAGCCAAAAAAGCTGAGGATTGGGAACTGACCTTCTTATTTTGCAGAAACTTTCTGGATAATTTCAAGTTTGATAGACACATACTTGCTGTCACTTACCTTTTCAAAGACTGGAAAGTACCTGTTAGTTGCTCTCTCCTTAATTGACTCAAGATTTTTCTCCTTTGCATCAGGTGGAGAGAAAGGAAACATCAAAATCATTTGCATCAGATCTGATATTCCCTCCACATACATGTCAATCCTATTGGTCAGGGGAAGATGGGAGAAAAAAGCACAGAAGTTATTTCATCTGTTTTCCAATTAACTAAGGTGACTTACAGGAATTTTATATCACCAATATAGTGCCAAGTTTCACAGCCAAAACTAAGCACAAACGAAACCTGAATATTCTTCTAAAAGAAAAGAAGCCTGTTTCTGATAGGAGCATTTCAGAAGCAGTGGTTAAATCTTATTGTTAGCCTTTTTGATGCCTTTATATGGGATTTACAGGATTGAATTTGGTTTATATAATGTAGCTATCAAACAACAGACTGCTCTGTTAGTGATAGGAGGTGTTACATACAGGGCTCTCTCCTTCAAGTCTTTCCCATAGAGATTGTATTTCCCTGCTATGTAGCTCATGATGGCTCTGGTCTGCACCATCTTCATCCCATCGATCTCAACCAGGGGCACTTGCTGGAAGAGCAGGGATCCATCTAGGGTGGAGAGGTGAAGGAAAGCCTGTTAGTTCCTCTTGCAAGGTGTACAGGAGAGTGAGGCACTGAGCACATTTCTCTTGCAGTGTAGGAGACCACTGATGTCCTGCTCCAACTGTACAACTCACAGCACTCAACTAACATTGTGGGGAAGATAAAACAGCCTGCATCACACTCCTGTAGCAAAGTCACCACAGCACAGCTGGGCCCTGGGCTTGACAGCATTGACAGAGCTTCACTGGCTGGTGGAAGTTGGCCCTGCCTGCACCTCTGCACTTCTGGAGCCTGCCTCATGCTGGCAGGAAAAGCCTGAACCAGCACTTCCAACCCAAGGAATAGGAGGAGAATGAAGATACCTAGTAAATCTGAACATTAAAAAAATCCAATTCTTTTGAATGCAGATCAATTCCCTGACAGGGACAGACATGAGTAGTACTGCAGCAAGATCACGCTGCAGGAATACAGGAAAGGGTTAGGCCACTTAAAACATCCTGAAGCTACAGAGCTAAAGGAGAGCCTGTGACAGCTGTTGGTGTTTGAGTAAGTTTCACACAGTCACTTCAGGACCAGAGTTTGAGTGTCCCCATAGATTTTACAGGCCTAGTCTCAGTGCCATTCTACAACAATTTAGGCCTATAGAGAAACATCTTTACAGTCCCATTTTCTGCTGGTGCTGGTAGGAGCAATTGTCTGAGCTTTCAGTGAGACAGTTCTGAGAGCTAAGTACACACAGAGATTTAGCATTGCAAAGTCAGTCTATTCTAGACCAGTTTTCTGCTGGACTAATTCACTGTTTTTGGAGACACTCCCTCCTCCATCTACACACTACTGGCATCTAGAGAACAATCCTGCCCTGTTTATAATCACAGCAGAACTCCAAAACAAAATAGGCAGCAGCCACTTGCATTGCTCAAAGTCAATAATTTATTTTAATTGCTCAATTTATATCTGTTTGGTGAATCCTTCTTTCAGATAGGAAGGTTCATTTCAACAGGCACATCTGCCTGCCTTTTTCTCCGCAGCTGTTAAAATAACTTGCTGGGCTAGAATTAATAGTCTTCACTCATTCTACATTATTAATTTACAGTTGAAATTCAAAGAGTAGTTATCTCTGCAGCAACAAATAGCTTGTATTTGTTTCTTGTAAACATTCAGAGAAAGATCATGTGTGTTCTTGTCTTTCTAGAACACACCTCTGCACCTTAAGGAAGAAACATTACTTGGTACCCATCTAAAGAACAATAGAATAGGAAAACTAATAGATCTGGAAGAATATTTTTCAGCAGAAATATGTGAAGTGAAAAATATAATTTGTCTTTCTGGCCCTTGACAAAAAGCAACGCAGCAAATATGCCTGAATACACCATTTGTTTCTTATATACAGAAAAGAGGAGTCCCTCTTAAAATCAGTAGTGGACTGCCTCTCCTCCTTCATTTTGTAGGGAGAATTGCTTCACAGCACAGAATACATATACAGAATTAAAAGGAGTTTACCAGTAATTCCAGGGATTGGGCTGTGCTCTCCAAAGGTGGTGTGTGCGGCACACATTAAAAAACAATCACCTGCTATTTGTGACCAAGCAGCAGAGCTCATTGATACCCAGGTACCACCTGGGCAATCTTTGGGTGCACAGATTGAGCCAGGTTAGTCATCCCACAGGCCAAGAGGTACAGGTCTGCACAGGCCAAGGGTATTTAACTCTCTTTGCCCCCAAAAGAGCTGTCTCTCTGCAAGCTGCCTGTTGGGAACAATGCCCCCACTGCTGGGGCATTGCCTGGAGGACCATCAGCTGGCACAGGCAAAAGTCATGCCTGGGCCAGTCTAATGATGTGGTAGTGCCTAAACACAGGAAACTGTCAAAAATCATATTGATAGGGAGAGAAAAAAAGTTTAAGGGAGAAGTAATGTAGAGTTACTCCTGTTGAATCCTGCCCTGTGCAACTGGCAACATTTCAGAGAACCCTTTATCAGGATGACTAATTTATCTATCTTTCTTCAATCCATTCTACTGAACCACACCTTTTTCTTTGTGTTCTCACCATCTTAAGCTCAATATATAGACATAAAATGCTTGATCTTCCTTATAAAACTTCCCTATCCTTTTCACAACCATTTAATTCTTCTCTCTGGATATCAATAAGCTCAGATACAATCCTAGTTACAGCATCACTCTTTCTAGATAACCTACTCTTGTGAAGGATATAGAGATTTGGGCTTTCAGCACCTGTGCTCTTACATTTGGAGCTATAATTGGTTTGTGTACACTACACTGTCCGCCCACATTGTAAGAGTCCCAGCAAACTGGACCTGCAAATTTAATTCTTATCTACTTGATACCACTTCTATCTTATTTTTGTTCACTTTAGTTTTCCCTGACTGAATTTCTTTAGACACAGCTTTTTCTTTCTGAGCTCAGCCACAATGCAGGCAAGACCTCTTCCAAGCCTCCTTGTATGGCTTGGCAAGCCCAGCCTGCTCCGAGGTTTTTCTCACTTGTCTTGGGCAGCAGGTAAACTGTGGGGCACGTGCACTCTCTGCTGTTCCTCACCGTCCCAACTCCTTCCCCACTCTGGCAGGAAGGTCTTCTCTTTCCAGGGTGTCTGTAGAGGGGTTCACTGCTGGGTTTCTTTTGACCAGATATCAAGAGCAGTGGCTAGGGGTTTGCACTGGTGTGTGGGAAGAACTGGTCTTGCTCCCAAGGCTGGCATGAAGCCTTTGTGGCATGCTGCTTTGACCATGCCAGGCTTTCCACAGGTCTCGCTGCTGGCTCCATGCTTTTTAACTAGGGGAAGCTTCCCACCTCAGACTCAGGGAGTTCTATTTGTCCTGGACCAAAAATGTGCTAGGTACCATGCAACAGCATAGGTAAGTAAGTTGTATTAAGTAGAAGTGTTTGCCTGTTTAATGTACTAGAATAAACACAATCACAGAAGCTCTTGGCTTTTAGCTTATACCAGTTATTTGGCACTGGAAATAGCAGGTTTCTCAAAGCTAATATTGCACTATTCAAGGTGTGCACTCAGAAGTTTCCACTGGTTTAAGTAAATTATTTCAAACCATAAGTTTAGCTAGGCTGGACAATTATTTTGAAGGACTAAGTCTTAGGTGTCAGGAATCTTACCTTTGATTAACTTCTCAAAGTGCTCTTTTGTTTCCAAATAAACTTCTTCAAACTGAAAAAGGAGTGAGAATTGTGTCAAGCTGCTGTATTTGAACATTTTTCTTCTGTTAAGTGATAGCACATAACCATGCCCAGAATTACTGAGTCAAGCAAAAGGTAATGGGCCAGATCTGCAGCTGCACTGTTTAGGTGCAGATGTCCCAAGGATGCCCCACACACTCTGGCAGCTGATGGGGAGCAGAAGGAGGGCCTGGACACATCAGTGCACTGATTCAGAAATAACTGAAGACCAAGCTCAAACAGTGTGCAGGAATCTACAAAAACAAGACAAGTTGGAGCCAGTGCCAAGGGAAACACATTGCACATCAAATATTTCTAACTCCACCCCAGCATACACACATTGCAACTGCAAACTTAATAAGACTGCTAGCACAGCTAGATAACTTATGATTAATAAAGGCCTTTTAAATAAATCCCCATTTTGTCCCCTTATGATTAATTACGTCAGGAGATTGCTACTACTTATAATAAACTCTAAATGCCACTGAGTTTGCAGCCCAAGTATCAACCACGGAACAAGGTACTTACAAACATGCAGTGCCACGGGACAAAAGAATTTAGCCACCCTCATGCAGCTTTTATTTGCCACATGCATGTTAAATTGTTCCCAACTGAGGAAAGTAGAGAACACCAGTCTGTAACACTCTACTGGAAATGTCAACCAACCTCCACACCAGCTGCCGCCAACAGCCATCGTATGGACTCCATCCGGCCCCTTCCATTCAAGTAGATAAGCCTGGGCTTCCCCGACATGATCCTGAGCTCCTGGTTCCCTGAAAGATACTAAGCACAAAACTGTATCTCATAAAACTGGTGTTTTAAGCACCGTTATTTTGAGGGGAGATGCACCTTTTAATCTTGCTATACCTGTTGAAGTTTAAATTTCATTTGGCTCAAAACATAAAATGAGAGACAGGCCAGTGTCATCACACAGCCAGTGCTAGGAAAGAAAAGATGTGTGAATCTGTAAAGCCTTCCCCAGTGCTGCCAGGGAGGCTTCTTATGACTGTAAGCAAACACAGACCTGTTTAAACAAGTGATATGAGTCCCTAGCTACAGGGGGATGACTGCTGCCTATGAAGACAATTGTACAAAGCTACTGAAAATCCTGCCACATCCTCAGGGAAATTACTCACCTAACCTCATTGCCCATCATCATCATTGAAAAGAAGAAAAGAAAAACATGTTTTACCAGTAGGCTGAAATTTGTCTAGCTTTGCTTGCCATATGTGCATTTTGCAGCTTCATAGGCAGTCCATTTCTTTCCTCAAATAGGGGTGAATGAATTGTTGATATTCCCTTTATTCCATGAAACAGGATGAGCTTCCTTGGCCATCTTCCTGTAGCCAGCTGCATGGCTGGAGCCCATTTCCTTGCTGCTTATGGCAGCCTGGAGGTGTCCCTCAAAGCCAGATGTGGAACTCAGCTGCATTGGCTCCATGGGCCCTGAGAAGCATCCCCTGGGCACAGGGGCCCTGTGTTTCCAGGGGCACTGGCACATGGAGGCTGTCACTGCTTTGCTGTACCTGCGCCTCTCCCAGAGCACGGCAGAGACAGCGTGTTCATACTGAGCTGCTGCATACCCGGGGCAAGCAGCTGGATGGAAGCGCTCCGATGTCAGCATGAGCACTTCCACAGCCAGGCCTTCATTGCTCTGTGCTTCGTGCCCTAATTACTGAAAGAACACGAATAGCATTCCCCTTCAAAGATGTTTGTATCATACATTGATTATCAGAAGAAACAAAACCCTTTAAAATAGATCTTCCAATCATATCCTAATGGCTCAGAGTGCCTTACTTAATAAAATTTCCAGATGACTCCAGTTTTCCCCAGAGTTAAAGCCAAAGCTGCAGCATTACATCTGTCACACCTTGCATCCACTTGACATTTCCTATTTGAATCAGGCTTAGTACACTCCAGTGGTATGTTTTCTTCAAGCCACAGCGCTTTGTAGATGTACTTAAAACAAACTACATTTGGAACCTATTTTGCCCAAACTTCACCTAAATAAAAAACAAGATTGAGAGTTCCCCCTTGAGCAATTCCAGTAAGAACCAAGTCATGCTACTAAAATAAATTGGGATATTTGGGGTAATTTAATAAACATAATCCAAATACACATTATGGAAAAAAAGTATGTTCAGTTTTAAAGTGTGAATAGCTGTTCCTAATTACAAGGTCTGGCTCTAGGGACAGTATTTTATTAGTTTCTGCATCTTGTGTGATGCAGAAACTACTTTTCACTGTAGGGCAGGTTATCAATATAGTTCACAATAACTAGCTAGTGCTTCTTTTATTATCACACTTTTCAGCTTCGTTGCATCTCTATCATGTCAACACACATTGCCCCAACTTGTAACGCACAGAAACTTAGAGTAAATAAGACCTTTTCTTTAACTAAAAAAGCCAATGACTGAAATATCAAGTATATGAACCTTAATCTGCCTGGAAACATTATCTTTTGTTTGCAGAAGAAGAGTAGGAATAAGAAGCCTCAGGTATCATTTTATCATTTCACATGAACAAGAGATTTTATGTGGCATTAAATTATGTGAGAAGAACAATGACAAACATAGAATTAAAATTTGCCGTAAGTTTTTTTTTAAATTAAAAAAACTCTGTCAGCTCTGAGTGGATTTTACCTACCTTAAGCTTCCAACACAGAAAAAAAAAACCCAAAAAAACCCAAACAAACTAACTAAAAAACAAAACCAAACAAAAAACCCGCTTGAGTTTTGGTTAAAAGTCACCTTAATCTTTAGATCTGCTGAATGCATCACTATCTCCTGACTATACGGGAGCTAACACCTGTAGCTCACATACAGGCAGCTACTTTCAGTTCGTGGGTCTGGACCTGAGTCCTGTCTGGTGGGCTGAGTTTAGTTGCTTATTGCCCTGTGAGTACTGACACCTGAGATTCCCAAAGATCACAAGATACAACCCTCGACTAACCCTCGACTAACTGGAGACTTGGCAACTTCTACGTTAAAAAAACAAACCTATTCATCCAGACTCTCAATACTTGTTTTCATTTATTTGGGGAAAGATACAGACTACAAAGCCAAGGCCTCGGGATTTCACTCAGACCTCCACTATTTTTCTAGTTTTACTAAGAGACTTTCAGGATGTACTATTTTAAAAAGTTGATCCATTTTTAATAGAATATGTTGATACTTTATTAATAGCCAAGTAGCCAATCTTGTATAGCTGACACCCATTCCTCATTGTTTGCCTTAAATAAAAATGGTCATTGGGCCTTTCTATATAAGTTACAATTCGTGTAAGGGAAGTACATATGTGTGCAACATTCTTCAGCAAGATGAGTAGCTATTATCTGAAAATCATATTAAAACAATTCAAAACATTCCAAGACCAGGTATTAAAACTAACACTTTTCAGAGGTTGTTGGATTCTGCCAGTGCCAGACAGCTCTTCCAAGGAAATAGGAAAGACCCACTCACTGGGCAACACACAAGGCTGTGTGTTGAAGATTTTGAAGCTAGCTGCAGTTGTCCTGGGACTGCCACACTGTGGTAAATCATTCACCTTGTTTGCACAGAAAGGGCGGGAAACTGCCTCTGGGATAGAAACTGACATGCCAAATCCCACTACACTACTCCTTCCACCTGGGAAAGGAATGACATCACAGCTGTGCAGTAACCAGCCATAAACCCTAAAAGGCTCAAGCAGATGTAACAGATGTGCTGTTTCTAAATACCAATCTGGAATTGTTATTTGTGGGTGGTCACATTATTATTAACCTGGAATACAGGTTGTTGACTAACTACTGAGAATGAAGCAGCAGAAACTCCACCACTCAGTCCAAAGCTGAGCACACAAGCAGCTGAATTATTTGCATTAACAAAGATCTATAAGCTGCTCTGAGTCTAAATATTTATGCTGATTCTTAGTATGCATTTGGAGTGTGCCGTGCCAGTGGGCAGCTATGGAAGCTGTGTGGATTTATGACTTCTTGTGGAAGAAATTATCAAATGCTCCATGAATGACTGAACTGTTGAAGTTCTACAGTTGTCACAGAAATGCATTATCATTCATCAGCCTGACCATATGGCAGAAGGACAAAAAAAGATATAGGAGATGGTCTAACATATATTGCATAGCAACAGTACAAACCACCAGGCTTACAAGTAGTCCATGGTAAGACCTGGTGTTTCTTGCTCCTGAAAAGCTATGTCTGACCTCTCCTGCTGAAGAAAATTGACTCTTGCAAAAGGTACAAATGGCCACATGTCCAGGGACTGCTGAGAACAGGCATGGAAACCCTTCTAATTTTAATTAAGTAATATCTGATCCCTATAGCCAAAACACTACTCAGGACATATGGGGACTACTGCACTTACCCAGACACTGCTGAAGAGTTGGTTCATGTCATGAATTTATGCTGCAGTACAATAAATAATTGCATCTTGCATACACTGCCCTGACATCTAGCAAAAGCCTCAACACAAAATTTGACTACATACCATTTTTTAGTTGTTTTTGTCTAAAATCCATATTTCTATCCCATTTCCTACTGCCTTGTAAGCCTCAGTAACATGCCTGTCCAGAATTTCTGTAAGCATACATCTCAGGGATGCAAGAACAGTTTAAGAGATCATCATCTTCCAAAAACAGGAGCACTCAGCAGGAAGTGCTGTTTAGCCCTGGAGCTGAGATTAGAGTCCAGCATATCCCATGGGCCAGCTTTCCTGCTCAAACCCAGAAGAAATACCACAGTGCTCGAGACTTGCACTTTGTCCTCTCAGTTGTTTCGTGGCTGCCTTTGTCACCTCTAGATTGCACCACAGAATTAATTTCCTGATTAAAACACACCTTTCTCTGGCATTTTCTCTCCTGCAGCTTCCACTGGGGAAGCAATTTTTAGTCTACCTGGCACACAGACCAACTAAGGAAAGCAGAGAATTTACATTAGACCAGCAGATGCCCTAAAAAACTTAGTTGTGTCACATTAAAATAGTCATGCAAGCACTTTAAGAAAAAGGAATTTTTAAGTTCTTACCTTCCGACCTTAACTCAGACTCCACCCAGCACAGGCAGGTTCCCCAGGGCTGTTTAAACTCTGCAGCTTGGGGGAGTTTCCAGCCATACCCAATAAGAGGAAAAAGCCTCCCAATGCTCTTAAACTGACACTATCCAGTTTAAAGAGGTATGGGTCTGAAAACTGACACCCAAGCAGAGACAGTCTTTGTTTGCTGATTTGACTACACCATGACACTAACCTCACACTTTCTAAGGTAGCCATCTATTCAAACTGTTCTCTTGGAATTTTGGGGGCATTTTACCCAAATACAAGAGCAAGACATTTGAAAACACTGAGAAAATTATAGATTTTTCCTGGGTCATATTTAAGGTAATAGTACTCATTTAAAGAAAAACCACTAAAGTTTCTAGGCTTATTTAGTAATTTGGCAGGTTTTTATTTTTGCTGCTGTATGGCATAGAGAAGTTACTCAAAAGTATGGAATAACAGGGCTCAATTACTTTGAAATACAATATCAAGCTTGCTTGATATAAAAAATGGACGAGCAGTTTATGTCACAACCCACCCTATGTCTCAAGGCAATAGCACTAATTTTTGAAATTGAATGTACATGGCTAACATTCAAAGATTAAATAAATTATAATTTTCTTACCCATGAGAAGTAATTGTTTCAGCTTTTCTATCTGTATTTCAGCTAAAAATCCCAAAACTGAAAGTGGATGTGAACAGACACAAGGATAGCACAGCAAATGGAAAATGGAATTTGAGTGCCAAGATAAGG